ACCAGAGACAAAGGAAGGAAATGCCTTGAAAAGTCAAAGCGCTAGAATTCAGATTTTAAGCCTGCCAAGCTCTTAAACTTTGCGAACCAATAGAATATAGAGCATCCTCAGAGGCAGAATCAGAGACAAAGGAAAGAAATGCCTTGAAAAGTCAAAGTGCTAGAATTCAGATTTTATGCCTGCCAAGCTCTAAAATTTTGCATACCGACAGAATATAGAGCATGATACTGAGCGGAAAAAAAGCAAAAGACAATTGAAAGAAAAATGTAACAGTGTGGAAATTGTGGAAATCATTTAACCACTGAAGGCTTTGATACAACTGAGATTGTGGATTTGGGGTTTTCATGAGCTTTAAGCCATAATCATCGCACTTATGACAAGTCACGTCTTGAACTATCTTGCTTTGCATGTAATGCGTCTATCTCATATATTAGTTTCCTCTTTTACTTTGCATTACTGAAATAAATGAACTATTGCAAGATATTCTAATTTTTCGAGTATCACCTGTATATAAGATATTCAACTAGGTGAGAGCTCCATTTAGGGTTTGTTAGGTGGAAGTTTTCTCATCTGACGTTATTTTACCATTTCAGTTCCAATTTTCTCTAGGTTATCCCCACAGGGTGTAACTATTGGAGTGCTGGAGGATCGAGAAGAAGCTTATTTCAGTGCACATTGCAAGAACTTCAACATATAAAAAGTACAACATATAAACACTGGGACATTGTTTCAATTTAAAAAGTTTTATATACATTTTTTCATAAGTTCTATTTTACATTTTTGTTCTTCCCAGTTTGAGAGTTATTTCCATTATGTGCACTAACTCATTGTTGTAAAGATTGATTTGGAGCTTTGCGTATTTGGGGGGAAGTGGAGGACAAAGGCACAGGTTATATATTGTCAGGATATTTATATCGGCAGATATTTTGTGCCAAGATAGAAATTAAAAGTGTATATTGCCAGAGTCACTTAGAACAGAGCGGACTCCATTTTGGATTTCAGGCAAGACAGACACAAAATTTCTTTCCTTTCTGTAACTAGCCACTAGCCTGAGCTAAGGAATGCATTATGTAAACAAGCCAAGTGATAAGCAATGAAGCAGGGGGATGGAATGCTCTGTTTAAATGTCAATGGAATATAAATAATTTTAAACACAGACACTAGTGACAGAGAAGACTAATTAATTAATTTTACTTTCTAAATCTTACAAGGTCCCATTGTAAGTAAGGGGTGAAATTGAGTTTAGAACTGTCAATTTTAGAAATTACAACAGGAATTGTATGGAGAATATCCAAAGAAACGCTTTGAACTGACAGCAAACTTAAGTTATGGTAGTCATTTTAGATAATCCAAATGACGTCAAAATTGTCATCAGGAAAAGTTAACTCTTTCCTTGATAGGAAGGTTTAGTGAGGCGAGACTTCCCTCTATGAATCAAATATCTAAATTGCGATCTGCAGGTTGACCACACCTACAGTTTCCCATTGGCCTTATCAACTAATGACGTACAGAGAGTCTGGCCCTTTAAAAGTTAGGACAAAGGGAAGAGAGAAGGTTAGTTTGGGCATTCAGATTCGGACATTCAGAGAGATCCAGGACAGCATCCATTGTGAAGCTGCATTCTTAGTGAGCTGTCCAGGAGGTGGGAGAGTCTGAGAGGGAGGGTCTGCTGCTGATTGGCTGTAATGTGTCTGCTGACAGTGAGGTACAGGGTCAAAGTTTACTCAATGATGAGTCCACGGCGAACCGTTCGTGGTGAACCGTTCGCGAACCGTTCGGCGAACAGTTCGGGACATCACTATCCAGGACAGATATTCAGGACACTCTGGGACTAACTCTCAAACTCTCTTGGACACAACTCAAGAAACACTCCTTGACAATTAGAATTTTACTATTACTTTCTAACCAACATCACTTTTCTCTATTACTTACACACCTCCATACAACCAATCATACTCACATTCAAGTTCCTGGGACTACCTACTCATCTGATGAGAACATTATTTAATTTTTATTTATTTATTTATAAAATATTTTACCAGGAAAGATACATTGAGATTTCTCTCGTTTTCAAGTATGTCCTGGGTCCACAAATCATTGCATTGTTACATTAGGTACAACAAAATACAAAAACAATATTAATACACAATATATACAAAATTTAACATAGAACAGGCAGGAAATATATAATCAACCATGACACGTGCATTCTGTTTTGAGGTATGTAGAGAGGGATCTCTTAAATGACTTTAGGCTTAGGGAAGATTTTAAATTGTGCGGGAGATTGTTCCACAATTGCGGTGCTCTGTAGGAGAAGGAGGATTGGGCCGCTTTCTTTTTGTATTGAGGTAGACTAAGTAAAGTGCTTGTACTGGATCGGAGCTTATAGAAAGTGGGAACAGCTGGGGAAAGCATTTTGTTCAGGTAGGGTGGGAGTTTCCCAGAAAAGCTCTTAGAAACAAGGCTGGAAAGATGAAGGGTGCGTCTGGATTCCAGCGATAGCCAGTTTAGTTCCTTTAGCATGTCACAATGATGGGTCCTGTAATTACATTGTAGCACAAATCGGCAGAACGAGTTATACAATGTGTTGAGTTTATTAATGTGGGATTGCGATGCAGACGCATATACTACATCCCCATAATCAATGATTGGCATCAGCATTTGCTGTACAATCTTTTCCTTTACTGTAGGGCTTAGGCTTTGTTTCTGTACAGGGCACCTAATTTTGGATAAAGTTTAGATGCAAGCTTTTCTATGTGCATGCCAAAAGATAGATTGGGGTCTAATATCATACCCAAGTATTTGAAAGAGTGGACTGCGGTCAGCATGCCATTTGAATTTGTTTTGATGGATAGGTGGGAATTGTGTAATTTGTGTAATTTAGGTACTGTTCCAAAGATCATTGTGACAGTTTTGTCAGTGTTCAGGAAGAGTTTGTTTTTTGCGATCCACTTTTCTACCTCTGTAAACTGGTCTTGGAGCAAAGCCTCAAGTTGCAGTAGATTGGATTTGCTCGCATAGATTACCGTGTCATCTGCGTACATGTGTACATTTGAGGATTGGCACACATTAGTTAGATCTTCCAGAAGGCTACCTGTTTCAAATGGCCATGGAACAACTGATGGAGCTCTGAGTTCTATGCTGGACTGGGTATGTTTAAAAATCAGACTGTGGGAGAGAGATGTATATTAGGGTCAGATGGGCTAGGAGATGGGGGGGGGTGCATAGATGGACATTTGATTTAAGGTCATTTAAGGAAAAACAAAAGCAAAGATTACGAATTACAGAGATAAGACAGAGGTATTTAAGTAGGGAAATAAAACCATTAAACAAGGAACAGGAAAGCTATATGGGCCTGAGCTGGTTAAACTAACTTTTAACATGATGGACAAAGACAAAGGTGATAAAATACTTTGCATGATTAGCACAGGCTA